GAAGGGGGGTGAGAGAGAGAGAGAGAGAGAGAGAGAGAGAGAGAGAGAGAGAGAGAGAGAGAAAGAGAGAGAGTATAGTAAAAATAAAAACACAATTATATTATGTTTTGTACCTTTGTTTTCAACTTCAAGGCCCTTTTAACGACAATACTTTGATCATGGTGGTGACTCGTTGTTTCTAATAATATTGATGTGGCGGTGTTGGTGGATGTGGTTGTGCATGTTGTTCTAGTGAGCGTTTTGAATGTTTTTGTAACCAAATCTGATTGTTTCTTAAAGAAGAATTAGAATACAGATACGTTTGGTATTTTTTCGGCGATTTTCATATCAGAGGAATGCTTCCATTTTAGGAAATTCAATTTTCGAATAATGTGTTATATCAAACACATTGGGAAACAAAAAATCATCAAATAGCCATGATTTTAATTAACAAAGAAAATGACTCCCTCCCACCCCCGCCCCAACCTTTCGCCCTTCTCTATAAATTCGGTTGTCAAGCCTTTTCAAAATCCCGTTAAAATATTCAAAACATGCGGTATTTTATCAGAATTCTGGTCGACTCATTTGTGATATACATGTCAGCAAAGAAATCTATCAAAATGTGTTCAGTGATTTTCAGAACGGTTAGCTGGAGGGATGGGTGGGGTGGCAAAGAGCATCTCATTTGAAATAACCCTTTCTGTTTGTAATGGGGGTTTCTTCAACTTTTATTATTACTTTATTAAATCCCCACCAGAATTGAAAACAACAGCTAAAACAAACACACAAACAAACAGTTACACAAACATGAACAACAAGAATGATAACAGCAACAACAACAACAACATCACCACCAACAACAATAAAAACAACAACAACGACAACGACAACGACAACAACAACAACATCAAGACAATCACCACTACCATTACCACCAAGAATGAAAACAACAACAACGTTGATCACAGAAATACAGATCCCCCGAAAAACCCAAACAAACAAAACAGGTCCCCATCACACGTACACACACGCACTTTAAAAAAGCATGTCAAAGATAAACACTCACGACTTGAGCCCCATTTTGGGTGAGAATTAAAGAGTAACAACATCCGAAAGAGAATTTATCCGATACCACAGCAAAACTTAATGCATTCCACACATCCTTGACCCCGCTAAACAAGGGTAAGAAAACAAAAATTCTTTCCTTGACGTTCCCAGATTTGGGCCACAGATACGCCCATGCTCTCGCCAGTAGTGCTGGGCGACTTGGTTCCCGATTATTGAAAGCTAGGAATCGTAGGAATCGACTCCGAACCCAATTACTTACTTTCTAATGATGTGATTTCTTCTGGTGGTTACCTGGTTGACTCGGAACATCTTCAGGATTTAGGATAACCTTGGTTTCGGAAAATTTCGAAGCATCAACTCTTATTTGTCAAAAATACATAAAAAAAAAAAAGAAACACATTTTCATGATTAAAGTAACTGGTAACCGTTGGTTTACGTAAAAAGGAGTTGGAGCTTTTCTTCCGTAGCATTAATGCATTAATCGTGGGGATCGGTCCCGGAATCAATTCTTCGCCCAGCTCTACTCGCCAGACCTCAGAAAAAATAATCGCTGAAAACAAGTGAGAAACGCCTCGTGAAACTGATAACACAGCTGGTGTGCGTTTTATGTTTCTTTTTAAGCAAGTGTTTTTACAGCACCAGTAGCACAATTAGATCATATAAGTGCTGGAGTTTTCAGGTGTTACAAGAGACTAACAAAGTTAAAAAAGACGGAGGGGAGATAAGGACGATGGATGTCTGATAGGAAATTTAATACGGAACAAACCATACATGAGCACCTGTTAACCACAAACCAGTTGATATACACTACTCTTACCTCCCCTCTTCCCCCTAAAAAACCCCAAACTCAACCAACCAACCAATCAACCAACCAACAAAACAACAACACAATAACAACAACAACAAACAAACAAACAAAAAACATTTTTTCTCTACGGAATCTGGGCTACAATGACAAAGCTACAAATAAATGTAAAAAAACAACCCCAAACAACTTAAAGTAATCCAAAAGTTACAACTCATTGCATGTCACGTTGTCTTATCACTCCTGACAGTATCGTAAACACATCATTCCTGATTGCTCATGTGTTTTGCCTTGTTGTTTGGCTACTCTGAGGTATCGAATAAAACGGAGGGAGGGGGGTGGGTGGACAAGTGGTTCAAAATTACTAAACGG